ATAATCCACTGAGTCCTCAGTGTTTTAATAATCCACTGAGTCATCAGTGTTTTAATAATCCACTGAGTCCTCAGTAGTGTTTTAATAATCCACTGAGTCCTCAGTAGTGTTTTAATAATCCACTGAGTCATCAGTGTTTTAATAATCCACTGAGTCATCAGTAGTGTTTTAATAATCCACTGAGTCATCAGTGTTTTAATAATCCACTGAGTCATCAGTGTTTTAATAATCCACTGAGTCATCAGTAGTGTTTTAATAATCCACTGAGTCCTCAGTAGTGTTTTAATAATCCACTGAGTCATCAGTGTTTTAATAATCCACTGAGTCCAGCTGTTTTAATAATCCACTGAGTCATCAGTGTTTTAATAATCCACTGAGTCATCAGTGTTTTAATAATCCACTGAGTCCTCAGCAGTGTTTTAATAATCCACTGAGTCCTCAGTGTTTTAATAATCCACTGAGTCCAGTCAGTGTTTTAATAATCCACTGAGTCCTCAGTGTTTTAATAATCCACTGAGTCCTCAGTGTTTTAATAATCCACTGAGTCATCAGTAGTGTTTTAATAATCCACTGAGTCATCAGTGTGTTTTAATAATCCACTGAGTCATCAGTGTTTTAATAATCCACTGAGTCTCAGTTTTTTAATAATCCACTGAGTCATCAGTGTTTTAATAATCCACTGAGTCATCAGTGTTTTAATAATCCACTGAGTCATCAGTGTTTTAATAATCCACTGAGTCATCAGTGTTTTAATAATCCACTGAGTCATCAGTGTTTTAATAATCCACTGAGTCATCAGTGTTTTAATAATCCACTGAGTCATCAGTGTTTTAATAATCCAGAGTCCTCAGTAGTGTTTTAATAATCCACTGAGTCATCAGTAGTGTTTTAATAATCCACTGAGTCATCAGTGTTTTAATAATCCACTGAGTCCTCAGTAGTTTTTAATAATCCACTGAGTCATCAGTAGTGTTTTAATAATCCACTGAGTCTCAGTAGTGTTTTAATAATCCACTGAGTCATCAGTAGTGTTTTAATAATCCACTGAGTCCTCAGTGTTTTAATAATCCACTGAGTCAGCAGTGTTTTAATAATCCACTGAGTCATCAGTAGTGTTTTAATAATCCACTGAGTCATCAGTGTTTTAATAATCCACTGAGTCATCAGTAGTGTTTTAATAATCCACTGAGTCATCAGCAATGTTTTAATAATCCACTGAGTCATCAGTAGTGTTTTAATAATCCACTGAGTCATCAGTAGTGTTTTAATAATCCACTGAGTCATCAGCAGTGTTTTAATAATCCACTGAGTCCTCAGTAGTGTTTTAATAATCCACTGAGTCATCAGTAGTGTTTTAATAATCCACTGAGTCATCAGTAGTGTTTTAATAATCCACTGAGTCATCAGTGTTTTTAATCCACTGAGTCATCAGTGTTTTAATAATCCACTGAGTCATCAGTAGTGTTTTTAATCCACTGAGTCATCAGTGTTTTAATAATCCACTGAGTCATCAGTAGTGTTTTAATAATCCACTGAGTCATCAGCAGTGTTTTAATAATCCACTGAGTCCTCAGTAGTGTTTTAATAATCCACTGAGTCTCAGTGTTTTAATAATCCACTGAGTCCTCAGCAGTGTTTTAATAATCCACTGAGTCCTCAGTGTTTTAAAATCCACTGAGTCAGTAGTGTTTTAATATCCACTGAGTCATCAGTGTTTTAATAATCCACTGAGTCATCAGTAGTGTTTAATAATCCACTGAGTCATCAGTGTTTTAATAATCCACTGAGTCTCAGTAGTGTTTTAATAATCCACTGAGTCATCAGTGTTTTAATAATCCACTGAGTCTCAGTAGTGTTTAATAATCCACTGAGTCCTCAGTAGTGTTTTAATAATCCACTGAGTCATCAGTAGTGTTTTAATAATCCACTGAGTCATCAGCAGTGTTTTAATAATCCACTGAGTCATCAGTAGTGTTTTAATAATCCACTGAGTCATCAGTGTTTTAATAATCCACTGAGTCCTCAGTGTTTTAATAATCCACTGAGTCATCAGTAGTGTTTTAATAATCCACTGAGTCCTCAGTAGTGTTTTAATAATCCACTGAGTCCTCAGTAGTGTTTTAATAATCCACTGAGTCCTCAGCAGTGTTTTAATAATCCACTGAGTCATCAGTAGTTTTTAATAATCCACTGAGTCCTCAGTGTTTTAATAATCCACTGAGTCCAGTGTTTTTAATAATCCACTGAGTCATCAGTGTTTTAATAATCCACTGAGTCATCAGTGTTTTAATAATCCACTGAGTCATCAGCAGTGTTTTAATAATCCACTGAGTCCTCAGTAGTGTTTTAATAATCCACTGAGTCATCAGTAGTGTTTAATAATCCACTGAGTCATCAGTAGTGTTTTTAATAATCCACTGAGTCATCAAGTGTTTTAATAATCCACTGAGTCCTCAGTAGTGTTTTAATAATCCACTGAGTCATCAGTAGTTTTTAATAATCCACTGAGTCATCAGTAGTGTTTTAATAATCCACTGAGTCCTCAGTGTGTTTAATAATCCACTGAGTCCTCAGTAGTGTTTTAATAATCCACTGAGTCATAGTGTTTTAATAATCCACTGAGTCATCAGTGTTTTAATAATCCACTGAGTCATAGTGTTTTAATAATCCACTGAGTCATCAGTGTTTTAATAATCCACTGAGTCATCAGTAGTGTTTTAATAATCCACTGAGTCCTCAGCAGTGTTTTAATAATCCACTGAGTCCAGTAGTGTTTTAATAATCCACTGAGTCCTCAGTAGTGTTTTAATAATCCACTGAGTCCTCAGTGTTTTAATAATCCACTGAGTCTCAGTGTTTTAATAATCCACTGAGTCCTCAGTAGTGTTTTAATAATCCACTGAGTCCTCAGTGTTTTAATAATCCACTGAGTCATCAGTAGTGTTTTAATAATCCACTGAGTCATCAGTGTGTTTTAATAATCCACTGAGTCCTCAGAGTGTTTTAATAATCCACTGAGTCTCAGTAGTGTTTTAATAATCCACTGAGTCCTCAGTGTTTTAATAATCCACTGAGTCATCAGTGTTTTAATAATCCACTGAGTCTCAGTAGTTTTAATAATCCACTGAGTCATCAGTGTTTTAATAATCCACTGAGTCCTCAGTAGTGTTTTAATAATCCACTGAGTCATCAGTAGTGTTTTAATAATCCACTGAGTCCTCAGTGTTTTAATAATCCACTGAGTCCTCAGTGTTTTAATAATCCACTGAGTCCTCAGCAGTGTTTTAATAATCCACTGAGTCCTCAGTGTTTTAATAATCCACTGAGTCCTCAGCAGTGTTTTAATAATCCACTGAGTCCTCAGTGTTTTAATAATCCACTGAGTCCTCAGCAGTGTTTTAATAATCCACTGAGTCCTCAGTGTTTTAATAATCCACTGAGTCCTCAGTAGTGTTTTAATAATCCACTGAGTCCTCAGTGTTTTAATAATCCACTGAGTCCTCAGTGTTTTAATAATCCACTGAGTCCTCAGTGTTTTAATAATCCACTGAGTCCTCAGTGTTTTAATAATCCACTGAGTCCTCAGCAGTGTTTTAATAATCCACTGAGTCCTCAGCAGTGTTTTAATAATCCACTGAGTCATCAGCAGTGTTTTAATAATCCACTGAGTCCTCAGCAGTGTTTTAATAATCCACTGAGTCATCAGTAGTGTTTTAATAATCCACTGAGTCTCAGAGTGTTTTAATAATCCACTGAGTCTCAGTAGTGTTTTAATAATCCACTGAGTCATCAGTGTGTTTTAATAATCCACTGAGTCCTCAGTAGTGTTTAATAATCCACTGAGTCCTCAGTGTGTTTTAATAATCCACTGAGTCCTCAGTAGTGTTTTAATAATCCACTGAGTCCTCAGTAGTGTTTTAATAATCCACTGAGTCCTCAGTAGTGTTTTAATAATCCACTGAGTCCTCAGTAGTGTTTTAATAATCCACTGAGTCCTCAGTAGTGTTTTAATAATCCACTGAGTCATCAGTGTGTTTTAATAATCCACTGAGTCCTCAGTAGTGTTTTAATAATCCACTGAGTCATCAGTAGTGTTTTAATAATCCACTGAGTCCAGTAGTGTTTTAATAATCCACTGAGTCCAGTAGTGTTTAATAATCCACTGAGTCCTCAGTAGTGTTTTAATAATCCACTGAGTCCTCAGTAGTGTTTTAATAATCCACTGAGTCCCAGTAGTGTTTTAATAATCCACTGAGTCCTCAGTAGTGTTTTAATAATCCACTGAGTCCTCAGTAGTGTTTTAATAATCCACTGAGTCTCAGTAGTGTTTAATAATCCACTGAGTCATGTAGTGTTTTAATAATCCACTGAGTCTCAGTAGTGTTTTAATAATCCACTGAGTCTCAGTAGTGTTTTAATAATCCACTGAGTCTCAGCAGTGTTTTAATAATCCACTGAGTTCAGTAGTGTTTTAATAATCCACTGAGTCTCAGTGTTTTAATAATCCACTGAGTCCTCAGTAGTGTTTAATAATCCACTGAGTCATCAGTAGTGTTTTAATAATCCACTGAGTCCTCAGTAGTGTTTTAATAATCACTGAGTCCTCAGCAGTGTTTTAATCACTGAGTCCTCATCAGTGTTTTAATAATCCACTGAGTCTCAGTGTTTTAATAATCCTGAGTCTCATCAGTGTTTAATAATCCACTGAGTCCTCGTTATGGATCATCAGACCAGAACCAGAGAGTCTTAAAGTCGTTGTTAGCCTGACAGAAAAACTGGGGCTGAAACTCTCCGGACAGTTAGCATGCTAGCTAAATAACTAAACAGAGTCAGAGCTGGTTTGTTTGTTTCTGAACGACACATAGTGAACTCATATTTAAATACCTGGACTTACAGGTGATTTAACAACATCTGACATCAGCTGAGTTTACCTTATCATTAAACTAATGTAAACACAGATCGACTCCATCACTGAAGCTAAAGGCTAGCTGCTAACTTACCGTTTGAAATGACGTCACGGTGTGAAAACGTCACGCTGTCCGGTCACCGGGCTACCGCCGGGTCCACTGCCGACATGAGAGATGAACACTGTTAATAGAGACAAACCAGTCAGCTGTCATCATCTGGAGGATGTTAGCAGCTTCTCAATACGTGGACAGGAAGCGCAGCGAGTCAGGACCCCAACAGAGCGACTGCGGAAACGCCTGATCAAAAATTAACCAATGAGCGTTAAGATTCACATCATCCACTCTTACCTGCGTGTACGTAAGGTATATTAATAACACTCTTACATTTATTTAACCTGAGCAGAACATTCATCAGAAGGTTTTATTTTGGTTTTGAAAACACTCACTAGAAAAAAACATTCCCACCCTTTTTTTTTTTTACTTTACTCTTGTTTTTTGTTTCTTAACGCATATTAGCATATTTATTGCTCATATGTTATGCATTAAGATATCCTTACATCGAGTGACGTCAGAGCGAGGGCGCTGCACACGTTGAAAAGCAGCTTGATTAGCTTCTTTTTATGTTTAGCTCATTTCAAACATCTTAACTTTATAAATCTAAATGTTGTTGGAGCATCAGATAGCCTAGAGTTGTGTCATGCACTCCCATGTTCAGGGCTGTAGTCCTCGTTGCAGCAGCAGTGGGCGACTCCGACTCTTTGCTGCAGCCCCCCATCTCTCTCTCCCTACAGTTCCTGTAAATGTCTAATTGAGAGCTCTGAGAGCTTCTTATCTTCTTAACAAGTTGTCGCTCTTGCAGTGAGAATAAATGAACATTGTACATCCCTTTTCGAACATTTAAAATAACTCAACTGATGACTCACTTCTACAGACGACACAAACTGACGGAGAACTTATGAAACAGTGCCTCTTTATTTTTTCCGCACTCACTCCAAAATGCATATTTACATGGCATGCCACAACAATACAGGAACTGACTATGGACACAATCGATAACACTTAGATCTGCTCCAGAAGTCGATGCGCCGGGAGAGTTTCCCAAGAACAACCGACCAGGAGATAAACAGAACACTTGTATACCGCCATAGAAAGGGTTCCTCTAATCAGGGTCGTTTCAAAGACTTAAAAAGAGAAAATGTCTTTTTCCGCATGTGCTAACTTTTTCACATTTGTCACGGAGGGCCGGCGCACGTTTGAGATGATGGTGAACTCAATTTAGAAAAAAAAGAAAAAAAAAAAGAACAAGGCTGTTAAAAGTCAAGCCGTAGGGGCAGATTTAGGAGGACAAGATTTACAACAGTAATTTATGTAAGAATACGCTGGTAACCTCCGTTAGATATCCACGGCCAGTCGTTCCAAAACGTCTCAACAATCTAAAGTCTTCTAAGAGAGATCGTGTCCTCGGTCACGCTCACAATCCACAAAGCGCTGCGTCCTTTCAGAGTAAAACTAAAAAAGAGACGAGAGGAGTGGAGTCCAGAAGATCCAAAATTGCGGGTAAAGAAGTTAAATACATAAAAAAGAGACACAACCCGAAATATACGAGTGTGTGTGTGTGTGTGTGTGTGTGTGTGTGTGTGTGTGTGTGTGTGTGTGTGTGTGTGACGATGCAAATAAACAAAAACAAAAATCTGGACAAGCTTCCTCAGAGATCCTTTGCTCCATCAGTATTTCCTGTGATCAGATAAACAGTCCGTTGTATGAACATTCAAAACACACACGCTCAGTCGCTCTCTCAACCGCACACGCACGCTCACTCAGCTGACCAACACACACACACACACACCACACACACACACACACACACACACTCACTCTCACACACACACACTCTCTCTCTCTCTCTCTCTCTCTCTCTCTCTCAGCCAACCACTGACACACTCTCTCTCTCACTCACTCACACACACACACACACTCTCACACTCTCTCTCTCTCTCTCTCTCTCACACACTCACTCTCTCTCTCTCTCTCTCTTTCTCTGCCAACCACTGACACACTCTCTCTCTCACTCACTCACACACACACACTCTCACACTCTCTCACTCACTCACACACACACACTCTCTCTCTCTCTCTCTCTCTCTCTCTGCCGGTTACACATGCGATGTGCTGGTCTGGAAGAGGGACCGGCCACATCAGATCAGCCCCCTCCTCTTCTTGTAGTCTTCCAGGTTGAGTGACCTGCGGGGGGCGCCGTCCTTCACCGGCAGCGCGTTGGAGCTCACGGACAGAGACTTTGCCTCTGAGGAAGAGAAGACAAAAACAAATGTCAAGATAACGACTCCATTAGCATGAAAGCTAATTTTAATATACATCCAGGTTGGGTTGTCATGACAGCAGAATTTAAAAGTTTGATAAGATGAGAGTAAAAATAAAACCATCTCAATATCTGTGTCTATTGCTCGGAGTAATTTCTTGTTTTAAAGTACCAAGAATTGCAGACAAACTCCTGCAAACTGAAATTGCACAAAAACACTTTCAACATAAATGTTGCTAATGAATTTGTGAATATAAGCCGGAGCCTTTAACTGACATCGCTGTCAATCCTCTACTCTCTGTCTGATTGTAAGAGACATAAACATGACATTCACAAACATTTGCTGATTTCAGCTCTGGTACTTTTTCATACTACCGCTCATTTAACTCGTGGAGATTGTATTGTCTTAAAACACGTCGTACAGAGAATTCTGTCGGTACTGAAAATTCAGACAACCTTCAGAATCATGGATCAGAAACGCGGTCTCACCTGCGTTGGGGACCTGAAGGTCGATCTTAACGTCAAAGTCGTGAACTTTAAACAAGTCCTCTGAGAGGTCAGTGGTTGGCTTGGGGACGTCTTTGTCTTTAAAGTCTGCTTGACCCTGGAATATAAAAAATACAAGAAAAAGAGTTCAGATGAATCAAATCAAAACGTCTGATTGGATACAGGTGCTGACAGACGGGAACACACAGGTGTGTCTCTTCTTACCAGTTTGTTATTATCTGCGCTCGCAGGATCCCCTGCTGATCCAGAGCCGTACTTCTGGTTCAGGTGAGCCAGAATAGCTGCGTGGACTGACGGGTCCCGGGCCTGCAGAACCAGGAATAAAATCAGGTTTAAAGTTTAGTGTTGTGCTTATTTCTCTTCTCAGAACGTGACATGAGATAATTAAATACATCTTACGTTGGACACCATGGTGGGCTTGCACTGTCTTCGTGTGAAAGGATCCATCTGCTGGTTTTTAGCGTTTTGTCCTTCGGCCTGCAGGAAACAAAAACGAGTAAAAACAAAATGAGTTTCGACCGCCGGGTGAGGGTCAGGTGTTTAAAGAAGACGTTATCATACAAGCAACAGGAGAGATCGTTTATAAAACACATTTTAATGATGAGAGGACAAAGTGATGGAGCGTTCAAGTGCTTACAATACTTCAGGACAAATGGACCACAGGCTGCAGTACCAATTTTAAACACTAGGTGTCAGAGTTACATACTGCTCCTTTAAGGACCGAAGTGCTGCCGAACTAGCAGCAAGGACATCAAACACAGATATACATAGACTATAGAAATGGACGTCATGTCAGCACAACACATTGTTGACTTATATCAGGGATGTGTCTGCTTCCCGCTGCTTCTCTCCACTCACTTTTCTCTGTTTTTCTGACATCACAAAGCGCACACAACATCGGTGAAGTGATCATGACGTTTACTTTAAATTGGTCATTATTGTTTGAAATCCAAACCTTGACATTAATAACCATTAGTCACACTCACCACAAGAGCTTTCTCTGATTCAACGATGTTCCAGCTCCTGTTTCTCTGATTGATGTAGCTGAATGAGAAACAGAGTTGAAGAGTCAGAGACATAAAATCACAGTCACAACATTAACGTCTGTAAACAAACAAGATATGAGTTATGTTAACATGCTCTTTATGTGCTGTTTGAATGTGAGAGACTTTGTGCACCTCGTCATAACATAAAATTTACTTAGCGGCAACTGTGACCATGTTTTCAGGAAATAAAAGAAAGATTAAGAGTTTTCCTCAATAACTGTGTTTGTTGCTCGATCTGTTTTATTTAAAGGTCACATATTCTGTAAAATCCTCTTCTCCATGTTTCTCTAACTCTAACATGTGTCTCTAGTCGTCTACAAACCCCCAATGATGAGAAAAGTCCATCCTCTCTGTCTTCTGCCTGCTCCACTTTTCAGAAAATGTGTGCTCAAACAAGCCGTTTGGCGATTTTCCCTTTATGACATCACAAAGGGCAGTAGCCCCTCCCCCAGGTGGGTGACACTCCCACAGCTAGGTGTTTGTTCTGCCCTCTGAGTCTGCCTTCTCACCGTAAACAACAGGACATGGAGCGAGAAAGACTGAGACACCCAAGCTCATTTACATATTTAAAGGTACAGACACAGAAACAGTCTGTTCTGAGCAGGGCTGAAATAGAGGGGTTTATAGACATGATCAAATACAGGATCAGAGTGGATTTAGAACAAGAAACTTCACACACATGTTTTGAGGAGCTCTGATACTTATTTACACTGAAGAAAAGGAGGAGGAGGATATGTGACCTTTAAGAGAATGACTACAGAGAGATTTCACAGTGTTTAGATTTAAAGGGGACAGACCTGATGGCAGAGATGCTTTTGGTCCTCTGTCTGTCGAGCGCTTCCGCCCTTTCCTCAAGCTCGTTCAGCTCATCCTGGATCACTTTCACTTTGTCACCATCTCCGCTCTCTTCTGCCATGGCCTTCAGTCAGGACAAACAAAGAGGAGGAGAGTTAGAGCTAATATGAACTGATGAGGGTCGGTGCACAGAGTCAGACACTGACACTGTATCTGGGTTTACACTGAGCTGCAGAGATCATTATAACAACACCATATCTCACCTTATCTTTGAGGAGCTGCGTCTTCTTCATGGCATAGTTGGGCGGTGCTTTCCGGAATCTGTCCTTCTCTTTAACAATCTGCAGCAGAGACAAACGACATGTTAGATTTATTCTGCTGGTTATGGCACGAGGCAACGGAGATCATGCAGACACACAGACTCACATCCTCAATGTCTTTGTCGTTGAACTTGTAGTTCATAGCTTCTTTGATGGACTGCTCCTTTTTGGTGATTTCGTCCAGAGTCGGTACTTGCATCGCCGCGTCCAACATCTGAAAAAGACGCAGAGAGAGACGATTAATATCTTTATTCTGCGACGTGAGATGACTGATTACGACTGACTCTGCTGACTTGCATTAATAAAGACACTCACCGCCTCTTTCCACTTCATGAACTCATTTTCTGTGAACTCCTGATTCGACACAAACTCCAGCCTGAACACCCGCGTGTCGCCGCCGTGCCTGAGAGGACACATGGTCACAGCGTCACACACTTTGTAAACTAATAAAGCGGTCTGTTCATGGTGACTGATCATCATGTTTGATGATATACACACAGTATCTGTAATCGAATACCAACCTTAACTGTAAACCTTTGTTTGTTCGCGTTGTCCCAAGCTGGTAAACTTTCGCCGTCTCTACCACATCCACGATTTCAGCGACCTTCAAAAAAACAACAGAGGACAAAAAATGTACAATAAAAATCAAGAACACGTTACACCTATAGGACACGGTCTGTGTTCAGGGAATAAAGGTTTTAAAGCCTCTTCCTGTGTGATGATCCCATCATGATCAAAAACGGTCCGTTAGTTTGCATGTGTCGCTCTCTTTTAGTACCAGCTGTAGCCACCAGGTGGCGTTTGTAATCCTGCTAGCTGCCTGTACATTAACGTTGTGAAGTTCAGACCCACGGCCCTCAAGTCTCTCTGCCCACCTCCTCTGCTCACTTGTCTTCAACTGAAGAGTCTTTGAATCAAAGCAGCAACAAGCTTTATATTCTGAACAGTAGGGGTGTAAAGGTACACGTACTCGGACCGGACCGTTTCAGTACGCACAGAACAGAAGTGCTTTAATCTGTGTTCCCACACGGACCGCAAAGTGGAAGCACACCTCAGTGTGAAGGAAGGCTGGCCGTATGACCACACTGACCACCCTGTTCCAATGTTGTTTGTTTTTGTTTGTTGATGTAAACCTTGCAACACTGTCACTCAGTACTTAACAAGTACTGTGAACCTATTGCCTCTTTGTGTACAAAAATGTAATAAACAAAACTGTAAAAAATCTTAAAAAAAGATCTTACCCTATAAACTGGTTTACTGCTGTTGTTCCCGATGCCTATCCTCACGAAGCAGCCCGTCACCGTCTTAGCGAAGAAGGGCATGTGGCACCAGCGCTCCAGCTTGTGTCTGGACAGGCGGATCCTGTTGAGCTCGTCTGGTAGAGAGACGGGCTGCGACTTGGGCGGAGTTTCTTCTTTTCTGTTCAGAGAAAAAAACGAGTAAAAAGTTCTTTAAATAAAAGGGAAAAGAAGATTCTGTGATCGACGTATCCGAGGAGCAGAATGAAACATACTCGTCTTCATCGTAAGACGATGACCGGGAACTCCGATCACTTTTGACCGATGACTTGTCGTCGTCTTCCTCCTCCTCCTCTTCATCGTCTGAGTACACCTCGCTCGTCTTCAGGGGTTGACGTTTGGCCAACAGTTCAGCTGCTCGCCACAGAAAGGAAAACGTCAGCTTTGAGAACAACAGAAATCATCACAGAGGAGAAACAAACATCACACCGACCTGTTTTGTTCTTCTTCTTCTCTCGCTCAGCTTTCAGCTCCTCCATGGCCTGAGTCTTTTTGTCGAGCTTCTCGTCCCGTTTGGACCGCCGCTCTTTGTTGTGTGACATCACCTACAGAACGCAGAGTTGTAAATAGCAAGAACGTACGCTCTCTCACAAAATCTGACAAGAGCGCGTCTGTTCCAAAAAGAGAATCTCAACAGTGACAGCAGGCTCTCGGGTCTAAGAATCGACGTTATATGAAATTAAAAGCAATATGATTTTGTCACCTTTAGGAGTGAAGCATTACATAACACTTCTTATCAAAATATGATCTGTCAAACATTGTGAGAAATGTCCCTGAACTCACCACTTGTGTGTCTTGAACCTGGGACAGCTTCCTCTTTTCTTGCTCTTCCTCCTGCTTCTTCTTCTTCTCCTCTTTCTCCTTCTTCTTCGCCGTCTTCAGCTTCTTCTTAATTTCAAAACTGTCGAAACAAACAGAGTAAACATTGAGAAATAATGAACACTTCTGATGTTTCACTGATATTGGAGGTTTCAGATTTTTGTTCAGTCCCTGTCTCTGCATGCGTTCTTTGAAACTTCCCCACTCACCGTCTCTTCAGGACCTCTCTCTTTTCGATTCTGTTGAACAGCTCCTGCTCTCTCTCCTTCTCCGTCATCTGCTCCAGCCGAGCTCTGTCCTCAGCGTCTCCCATCAAGTCGTCGTCGTAGCCGTCCCTGAACACCTCGTCTTCAGAGGAGTCGGAGTCGGAGCTGGAGGACGAACTGTTGCTCTCTGAATCAGAAACCTCGCCTGATAAAAACAAAAGGGACAGAAGTCATTTAGCCATCTTCACAAGAGCATGTTTATATGTTTTTTGTAGGGCGTTTACACCTGCAGAAAACTCCTAAAGTTTTATTTCTGAGTGTCATGTGTGAACACAAACAGCTGAATGTTTCTCTCAGCCTCTTCGTATTTATTCTCCTGCTGTGAGGAGCATATGCCTCTCGAGATAACACTTATTATGCATACAAATAAAGATTGATTGATTGATGTGTGAACAACCAGATCAGGAGGATTTCATTGGCAATCCTGCTGAAACTATCTAGAAATATTTAACGTCTTTTTGTAAAAAGTTATCTTTGTAATTGACAACCCAACAGGACAGTACATTATTTCTACCTCGCCATGGATGACTTTTTTTCTGTGTTAAAGTCAGAGGGTGGTCCACTAGAACGGGAGAACCTCTCGTTATAGTTCTCGGTCAAAAACAACTTTATGTCTCAAGATTTAAATGCAGCAGTTAGACAAGCTTTTAAAAGCTGAGCAAAAGTCAGAGAGAGACATCGAGCTGTTTTCAAAGTGGAAGTTTGGGATTAAAAAGGGCCTGTGATGGTTTAAAAGTCACATTTTAAATAAGCAGCAAAAACTCGTAGAGCCTTTTAGAGTACTAAGACTTTTTCTCAGACGTCACCCCCCGACCTGAATTTGGACCATGTTTTTCCAGGACTTTCTCCAGGTTTTCCTTGCCCATGTTAGTGCCCGGCTTAGACCCGACACTGTGGGATATAAATTGGATGATGAGGATAAGAACATTACTCATCTAATCCCAGCGACATGAAACACCTGAGGACACGGCGCCCTGTAATCGACACTTCAGAACGCCGCTCGCTCCTCTGCTTTGCCTTTTCTGTATGCTGAGATTAACTGAAATCATGAGCATATTTGTTTAAACGTAAATGGATCGTTAGTGGTCGTCTCGACCACTGCCACAAGTTCCTTAGCTTTCATTACACATTCGGGCCAAAGGATATATTGTTTACCATCACAAGATTAACGTGTGCATGCGCTACAGTCACATTGCAGGACGTGCGAGTGACCTGAAGCTCGACGTGCTGCATGCTGTTGTTTGATGCAAAACCAAAGCCACCATTTTTCCTGTTTCCATGACTACTGCACAATAAAAGTGTGTCTGATATCACCGTCAAAGAACTGAGGATCCGTGCGTCTCGTGCATGTAGAAAATGTTCAGGCCACAGGGGGCGCTGCTGCCGTCACAGATACACCGTCAAGACGCTCAATCACAGATTTAAAATTTGTACTTTCTCTATGTATCTTGAAAATTTGAGATTTTGAGTTTGTTTTTCTTAACTTATTGTTTGTTTGAATGAACTAAAATACAAATAAAAAATATATCAGCAGCACCTCGTACCGCTACTCGTTAACGCTGCGGTCACGTAAATGGAGCGGTGACTGTTTACTTTTAGCGTCTCCACCTGCAGCTCACAGCGACATGTTGTGCGAGTCACAGGCAGCTCAACATGCCGAGCTTTGGTTTAATCAGAGGTTATAATCATGACGCTGCTCGTGAGCAGTGGACACACTTACCCTCCTCCGGAGCTGAGCTCTCCGCTGAGCTGTCTCCATCGGAGCTGCCGGACGCCGTGGCTTTAGTAACCTTCTTCTTCGTAGTGTTTTTCTTCTCAGACCCTTTCCCGGGCTTGACCTTCTTTTTGCCTTTGGTTCCACCCACCGTCCACTAAACAACACAGAGAAAAATCAATTTGATTATTAGAATACCTTCAGCTGTGAGGGAGCCTTAGTCTCTCTTACAGTAAAGTGAATTCTTAGAGAGCAAATGGGAAGACAGTCTTACCTCATCATCGCTGTCGGAGGTCTCAGAGTCTGTAGAAGCTGCAGGTTTGCTCACAGGTTCTTCCTGCTCACCTGAATCGACCCTCTTCCTCTTCGCCAAGGACAAGAGCTCCTGAAAACAAGAATGAGGGGATTAGGTTCAGAAAAAACAACTTGTATGAAATCCAATAAATGCTAATATCGGTCAATTTTATCGGCTGGTCGATTTATCGGTCGGGATCTAAAAAACAACCTAATAGCTCAGATTGGCTATAAATGTTTCTTTGGTTGCAGTGAACCAAAACGACATGAAGGAAAGTTTCATTCAGAGGCAGGATGTCTGTGCTGAAGTTACAAACAAGGTGAGGAGTATCAGAATTGTAATTTGCATATAGCAGGAAATCATCCTGCACACAGCTGATTAGCTGATACAAGAGTTGCTGACACGCCGAGCAGTCAGCAGTAAATATGTTTTATTTTTATTGTTTTGCAGCCGTCACTCTCCCACAGGGATAATAACACGAACCCAGCCTCAACTGGTCATCATAAAACATCCTGATGGAGGGTGTGAGCTGCAATTTGTCTCTTTATGCAGAACTCTGATTCTCAACAGGGCCTGGAAACATCTGGACAAGATCTGTCACTGAAGCAGAGTTGGGTCCAATCAAATAATCCTGCACACGTATCTCGTGTATCTGAAATTCTGCAATGCATTTTATCAACATCAGAGCAAAAGATGCTGTGACTGATTTACTGTCACCACTATTCTCAGTGATGCAGAAACTCCAGGCCTCACATTATCTTCTGCTGAGTTTCACAGAGCTTAGATATCAAAAGTTGTAATTCAGAACTCCTCAGCAGAGTGAGGTGACAGAGACGATGATCAGACAGGCAAAGTTTGATCTGCACCTTAAACTCTTCACAACAGTTGTGTTAAAACATAGAATACTGAAGTAATGCCAGCAAAGACTCTCTCTGCCTGGTTTTTCTGTATGTCCACTCCAGCATGTACGGCAAAAATACAATTAAAACGACAATAAAGATTACTTTCACTTGACAAGGGAGGTCCTGTTGTTACTAGAATTTTCAACTATTTCAACACCATGAGTTTTAAAACGATATAACCTCAGTAGGGCTGGGCGATATGGACCAAAACTCATATCTCCATATTGTTTAGCTGAATGGCGATACTCGATATATATCGATATGTATTTTATTAACAGTGAAAACACATGGAAAATAAACGACCTGTTTGTGAATTTAAAAAGTAGTATTATAAAATAAAAATGTTCCTTATATACAATAAAAGAGAGAGAGAGGAGGAGCAGACAGTCAGTCATCATCAGTGAGATGAGAAGAAGGAGACCTGGCACCTCTAACGTTATTTTAATGCAACATAAACTATATCCATATTAACGATGTTGTCTTACTCTTTATCTTGTTTGAAAATATATCGATATATCTTAAAAACTCGATATATTCCCCAGCCCTAAACCTCGGTTATTTCCATGATCGACAGCAACGAACAGTACCAAAGGTTTCAGAAAAGTTCAGATCTTCGGTTACATGTTAACTAAAAGCTGCTGCGAGTGTAAGAGAGCGAAAACTGTTTCAACTTCAACATTAACGTTTCCAACATATTTGTGCAATTTCGACATGTGTGCAGGAAGTTGCCTGCATTTTTGCTGGTAATTAAAAATAAGAAAATGATCCAATCCTTGGTGCTTAGTAGGCCTGCACGATATGAGAAAAGTATGAATGTGTGATCACATTGTTCGACTTTGTAATAAGGATATTAACTGTAATTTAAAAAAAGTACCCTGCTGAGAACTGTCTGCATAAACATGGTTGAGACGAATTACTGCTCACACTCTGAATTTGTTTTGAGAACTTCTTTAAAATACCAGACTGCCTCGTTTTATTGACAAACCTTCCAGTTAATGATCATGACACTTAGATGGTGAGCAGCCTTTCAGACTGACATGTGGGGCTGCAGAGTCTGCTCACTCTGTTTGACAACAACAACAACAACACAGAAATAGACCTCCAGCTCTGAAGGTTCTTCCTCTCTGCTGCAGCTTCAGTCGGTGCTCACACCGTCCTCACACCGTCCTCACAGCGTCCTCACACCGTCCTCACACCGTCCTCACAGCGTCCTCACACCGTCCTAACAGCTTCCTCACACCGTCCTAACACCGTCCTCACAGCGTCCTCACACCGTCCTAACAGCGTCCTCACACCGTCCTAACAGCGTCCTCACACCGTCCTAACACCGTCCTCACACCGTCCTAACAGCTTCCTCACACCGTCCTAACAGCGTCCTCACACCGTCCTAACACCTTCCTAACAGCGTCCTCACACCGTCCTCACAGCGTCCTCACACCGTCCTAACAGCTTCCTCACACCGTCCTAACAGCGTCCTCACACCGTCCTAACAGCTTCCTCACACCGTCCTCACACCGTCCTCACAGCGTCCTCACACCGTCCTAACAGCGTCCTCACACCGTCCTAACAGCGTCCTCACACCGTCCTAACAGCTTCCTCACACCGTCCTAACAGCGTCCTCACACCGTCCTAACAGCGTCCTCCACCGTCCTAACACCTTCCTAACAGCGTCCTCACACCGTCCTCACAGCGTCCTCACACCGTCCTAACAGCGTCCTCACACCGTCCTAACAGCGTCCTCACACCGTCCTAACACCTTCCTAACAGCGTCCTCACACCTTCCTAACAGCGTCCTCACACCGTCCTCACACCGTCCTAACACTTCCTAACAGCGTCCTCACACCGTCCTCACAGCGTCCTCACGCCGTCCTCACACCGTCCTAACAGCGTCCTCACACCTTCCTAACAGCGTCCTCACACCGTCCTAACACCGTCCTCACACCGTCCTAACACCTTCCTAACAGCGTCCTAACACCGTCCTCACATCGTCCTAACAGCGTCCTCACGCCGTCCTCACACCGTCCTAACAGCGTCCTAACACCTTCCTAACACCGTCCTCACACCGTCCTGTTCCCGTCCTCACACCGTCCTAACACCGTCCTGTTCCCGTCCTAACAGCGTCCTCACACCGTCCTAACACCGTCCTGTTCCCATCCTAACAGCGTCCTCACACCGTCCTAACACCGTCCTGTTCCCGTCCTAACAGCGTCCTCACACCGTCCTAACACCGTCCTGTTCCCGTCCTAACAGCGTCCTCACACCATCCTCACAGCTTCCTCACACCGTCCTAACAGCGTCCTGTTCCCGTCCTAACACCGTCCTGTTCCCGTCCTAACACCGTCCTGTTCTCGTCCTAACAGCGTCCTGTTCCCGTCCTAACAGCGTCCTGTTCCCGTCCTCACACCGTCCTAACAGCGTCCTGTTCTCGTCCTGTTCCCGTCCTAACACCGTCCTGTTCTCGTCCTAACACCGTCCTGTTCCCGACCTAACAGCGTCCTGTTCTCGTCCTCACACCGTCCTAACAGCGTCCTAACACCGTCCTGTTCCCGACCTAACACCGTCCTAACAGCGTCCTAACAGCGTCCTGTTCCCGTCCTCACACCGTCCTAACAGCGTCCTAACACCTTCCTAACAGCGTCCTAACACCTTCCTAACACCGTCCTGTTCCCGTCCTAACAGCGTCCTCACACCGTCCTGTTCCCGTCCTCACACCGTCCTCACAGCGTCCTAACAGCGTCCTAACACCTTCCTAACAGCGTCCTAACACCTTCCTAACACCGTCCTGTTCCCGTCCTAACAGCGTCCTCACACCGTCCTGTTCCCGTCCTAACAGCGTCCTGTTCCCGTCCTAACAGCGTCCTAACAGCGTCCTCACACCGTCCTAACACCTTCCTAACAGCGTCCTAACAGCGTCCTAACACCGTCCTGTTCCCGTCCTCACACCGTCCTAACAGCGTCCTAACAGCGTCCTAACACCTTCCTAACAGCGTCCTAACACCTTCCTAACACCGTCCTGTTCCCGTCCTAACAGCGTCCTCACACCGTCCTGTTCCCGTCCCAACAGCGTCCTGTTCCCGTCCTAACAGCGTCCTAACACCGTCCTAACAGCGTCCTCACACCGTCCTCACACCATCCTAACAGCGTCCTGTTCCCGTCCTAACAGCGTCCTCACAGCGTCCTGTTCCCGTCCTAACACCGTCCTAACACCGTCCTAACACCGTCCTAACACCGTCCTGTTCCCGTCCTAACACCGTCCTGTTCCCGTCCTAACACCGTCCTGTTCCCGTCCTAACACCGTCCTGTTCCCGTCCTAACACCGTCCTAACACCGTCCTGTTCCCGTCCTGTTCCCGTCCTCACACCGTCCTGTTCCCGTCCTAACACCATCCTGTTCCCATCCTCACACCGTCTTGTTCCCGTCCTAACACCGTCCTGTTCCCGTCCTAACACCGTCCTGTTCCCGTCCTGTTCCCGTCCTGTTCCCGTCCTCACACCGTCCTGTTCCCGTCCTAACACCATCCTGTTCCCATCCTCACACCGTCCTGTTCCCGTCCTAACACCGTCCTGTTCCCGTCCTGTTCCCGTCCTAACACCGTCCTGTTCCCGTCCTAACACCGTCCTGTTCCCGTCCTAACACCGTCCTGTTCCCGTCCTGTTCCCGTCCTAACACCGTCCTGTTCCCGTCCTGTTCCCGTCCTAACACCGTCCTGTTCTCGTCCTAACACCGTCCTGTTCCCATCCTCACACCGTCCTGTTCCCGTCCTAACACCGTCCTGTTCCCGTCCTGTTCCCGTCCTAACACCGTCCTGTTCTCGTCCTAACACCGTCCTGTTCCCATCCTCACACCGTCTTGTTCCCGTCCTAACACCGTCCTGTTCCCGTCCTAACACCGTCCTGTTCCCGTCCTGTTCCCGTCCTCACACCGTCCTGTTCCCGTCCTAACACCATCCTGTTCCCATCCTCACACCGTCCTGTTCCCGTCCTAACACCGTCCTGTTCCCGTCCTGTTCCCGTCCTAACACCGTCCTGTTCCCGTCCTGTTCCCGTCCTGTTCCCGTCCTCACACCGTCCTAACACCGTCCTGTTCCCGTCCTGTTCTCGTCCTAACACCGTCCTGTTCCCGTCCTAACACCGTCCTGTTCCCATCCTGTTCCCGTCCTAACACCGTCCTGTTCTCGTCCTGTTCCCGTCCTAACACCATCCTGTTCTCGTCCTAACACCATCCTGTTCTCGTCCTAACACCGTCCTAACACCGTCCTGTTCCCGTCCTAACACCGTCCTCACACCGTCCTGTTCTCGTCCTGTTCCCGTCCTAACACCGTCCTAACACCATCCTGTTCTCGTCCTAACACCGTCCTCACACCGTCCTGTTCTCGTCCTGTTCCCGTCCTAACACCGTCCTAACACCGTCCTGTTCCCGTCCTAACACCGTCCTGTTCCCGTCCTCACACCGTCCTAACACCGTCCTGTTCCCGTCCTGTTCTCGTCCTAACACCGTCCTGTTCCCGTCCTAACACCGTCCTGTTCCCATCCTGTTCCCGTCCTAACACCGTCCTGTTCCCGTCCTAACACCGTCCTGTTCCCATCCTGTTCCCGTCCTAACACCGTCCTGTTCCCGTCCTGTTCTCGTCCTAACACCGTCCTGTTCCCGTCCTAACACCGTCCTGTTCCCATCCTGTTCCCGTCCTAACACCGTCCTGTTCCCGTCCTAACACCGTCCTGTTCTCGTCCTAACACCGTCCTGTTCCCGTCCTAACACCGTCCTGTTCCCGTCCTGTTCCCATCCTCACACCGTCCTGTTCCCGTCCTAACACCGTCCTCACACCGTCCTGTTCCCGTCCTGTTCTCGTCCTAACACCGTCCTGTTCCCGTCCTGTTCTCGTCCTAACACCGTCCTGTTCTCGTCCTAACACCGTCCTCACACCGTCCTGTTCCCGTCCTGTTCTCGTCCTAACACCGTCCTGTTCCCGTCCTGTTCTCGTCCTAACACCGTCCTGTTCCCGTCCTAACACCGTCCTGTTCCCGTCCTCACACCGTCCTGTTCCCGTCCTCACACCGTCCTGTTCCCGTCCTCACACCGTCCTGTTCCCGTCCTAACACCGTCCTGTTCTCGTCCTGTTCCCGTCCTAACACCGTCCTGTTCCCGTCCTAACACCGTCCTGTTCTCGTCCTGTTCCCGTCCTAACACCGTCCTGTTCCCGTCCTCACACCGTCCTGTTCCCGTCCTCACACCGTCCTGTTCCCGTCCTAACACCGTCCTGTTCCCATCCTCACACCGTCCTAACACCGTCCTGTTCCCGTCCTAACACCGTCCTGTTCCCGTCCTCACACCGTCCTGTTCCCGTCCTAACACCGTCCTGTTCCCATCCTCACACCGTCCTAACACCGTCCTGTTCCCGTCCTAACACCGTCCTGTTCCCGTCCTAACACCGTCCTGTTCCCATCCTCACACCGTCCTAACACCGTCCTGTTCCCGTCCTAACACCGTCCTGTTCCCGTCCTAACACCGTCCTAACACCGTCCTGTTCCCGTCCTGTTCTCGTCCTGTTCCCGCTGAGTCTGATCTCTAACACATTCATCAAACTGTCCTGGGACAGTGAAGCTCATCACTACCTGAAAACATGAAAGACCCTCAGCGCGGGAGTTTAACACCGTGATGTGTAACCTTAACGTTAGCACAGCTCGGCTAATTGATGCTAATTCTTTGCTTACTATACAAACTGAATAATTCTCCTCGTGTCTGAAAGTCTGACTGAAACACATCAGTCTGAACAAAACTATTTATTTACCTTTAAGCACTTTGAATATGATGTAAATAAAACTATTTATTTACCTTTAAGCACTTTGAATATGATGTAAATAAAGCTCTCTATCGGGAGGCCAAACACAGCGCAGTCAGTTAGCACACATTAGCATCGCCTCGACCTGTTTTCACAACTTAAACGGGCAGTTAACTGTCACAAACTGAGACAATCGCGACCCTACCTGATCTAAATTGTCGTCGCTGGCGCTGTCTTCAGAGTCAGAGTCAATCACGACCCGACCTTTCCGCTTCTTTACATTCACCATGATTAGCTGCGCGGCTAACCTGCTAGCCACCTCCGTGTCGTCTAGCAAGTCGGCTCTGCAGTCAGCCACACAAAGGCAGTACTGAGCATGCGCGCCCGGGTTGAAAACATATAGTTACCGCTCGTGTTTAAAGTTCTCACGACGAGACAAAATACTAAACGTGTCCGTGACTCTCATGTTGTTTTATTACAGTAGTTTAAAGAAGGAAAAGGCAGCAACGCGAGAGAGTACATTTACTGTAAGTATAGAGCGGAACTACTTATTGATAACAGGTGCGTCACTCCGGACAGAAATCTCTGTAGCACGCGAGATGCGTTCAAGATCCAACCGTTTATGTTGTAAATCTGCCGTACTCTGTTCGCTTAGAAACATTTGTTTCCCGAACGCAGCCCGAGCTCTTCCGTTGTGCGTACCGTGTGGACACCGACAACCTTGGATTAGTAAACGAGTGAACACGAGCGGTTTATGAATCCTCTCAGTTATATTACAGTGTTTATTTTAAATATATAAATCTTTATTCTAACTAAACGGAGCACTGAAGCCGGTGTAACATCCCTCTTCCTCCTCCTCTTCATCTTTCCGGTTCAACATGGTGACAGTAAGTGTCACCTGAAGCCCTCACACAGTGAAGCTTATGTTCATTCATGGTAACGTTTAAAGTTTCTAACTGTCTTCCTGACGTGGCTGTAAGTGACTCTGTTTATTTCATCACAAGTGTCAACATGATGAAACATCTCGTTCATCAGCAGCTGTAGATATTTATAAACATCTGGAATTAAAGCTGCACGATATATCGTAAAAGCACAATATATCGTAAAAGCACAATATATCGTAAAAGCACAATATATCGTAAAAGCACAATATATCGTAAAAGCATTGTTATCGCGATATCAGCTTTCGACATAACTCAAGGAAGAAGACGAAATTCATCACCAAAAATATATATTTATAAATATATAAAAAGAATGAGGACATGGTTCAATATATTGTATTTGTTAGGGACAGTGTGTATTAATGAACAGCTGTAAAAACACCAGATTATAGCAGAAGTGTTAGTCTCCATCTGCTGTCCCTCAGCAGGTAACAGAGAAATAAATCAAATACAAAGGCACAAGTAAATGTGTTATATGTTACACATTTGTATTTTATGTCTGTGAGCTGCTTTATCAGTTACTTCCATGTGTATGTGTTGCTTTATTTGTTATGTTTATGTGTTCTTGTCTCTATGTTTTTCTGCTTCATTTTCCTGTTTGCTTTTTAATGTTTTCTTGTCGTCAACCTGCCAGGGACTGCAGGTGAAAATGAGCCTGCATGGCTAAATCTGGAACATTTACATGTGTGACTTCGTTGCTCTTGTTAAGTAATGTGCGTTGTCCCTTTTAAATAAAGAAATCTAAAATCTAAAAAAGTGACACAAGACAATAATCGAGGTTAAAGGTTAAAGGTTAAAGGTTAAAGGTGGTCACAGACTTGTTTGAGGTGTGTTTTGAAGGTTGCATATGTTTGTGAGTCTCTTATTGTGAGTGGGAGAATATTCCAACATTAATTTCCTTTGACTGACAGAACAGTTTGAATGTGATGCGTCTGTGTGGGGCCTCACAGTCTCCGGTAAAAATGAGTAGATGTTTTCTTGGGAAAAGGAAGCTGGATTAAATGTGTGTATTTATATATTTTTCTACAGAATAGCTTACAATACATGTTGACATCATCCTTCCTTGTCGGGTCTCTTTTTAAAGTCAGTCAACACGATCTTGAACCCATGAACAAAGATAAACAGATAAGATAAAGATAAACTTTATTGATCCCTCATGGGGGAAATGTTTGTATTACAGCAGCTCAAGAAAACAAGAAACAGGAATACAATTATTAAAATAAAAATAGAAGTTAAAAATCAAACATATCTACATCAGTTAAATAAAAAAATACAATAATGGAAAATGACACGGTATCTACTCTTCCACTTGTGGAAAGAGTAGATATTAAAAAGACACACAGTGTGTAGCAGTATTGTTATGAGTGGTGATGCTGTTGAAGAGTCTGGTTAAACAGTCTGATGGGATGAACACGCTGTAACTTCACAGTAATGACATCATTTTTCCGTTTCCTGTTTTCCAGCTCTGACTTGTCCGTATCACCGCTGAGATGTCTTTGCAGAAGATCACACGTCTCCCCTCAGCGAGGCTGCTGACCTCCATCCACCTCCTCCAGCACCAGCAGCTGCTCCTGCCCTCCATCCCTCCTCGCTCTGCGCCCAGACGAGCTGTGACCCAGGGTGAATACAGACGACCCGGCCAGCCCAAAGAAGACAAGCTCCCGTGGCAGAACGTGAACTTTGACCTCTGGAAGGGTCTGGGCGGGATAAAGAAACATTTCACTCTGCTGAAAAAAGAGTTTTTTGAACGCTGGGTGGGTCCGGAGGGCAAACCCATCCTGGAGCACATGTTGGAGCAGAACCGGTTGGTGTGGGAGTTCAGGGGTCCGGAGAGCCTGGAGGAGTGGGTCGTGTCCTCGGATAAGGAGATCGGAGGTCATAGTGAGGCTTACTTAAAGCTCGGCAAAAACAATAACACTTGTTTTCTTTACGGGACTCTGAGCTCCACGCCGCCGAGGGACGGAGAGACACGCTACAGTGGCTACTGCAGCATGCGCTCAAAACAACCGCTGGTGAGTGATCTGGTTTATGACTCTGACTGCTAATGAGGGAACACGCTGTAAAGATCAATTAACTGGGCCGCCGAGTAGCACCGAGCACAGAGGCTATAGAGCTCATTACAGCGCTGTGGGTTTGAATCTGACCTCGGCCCCTTGCTGCATGTCACCCCCCCACACACACACACACACACACACACACACACACACACACACACACTCTCCTCCCAACACGTCCTGTCTCTCTTCACCTGCACTCTCTAATAACATCCTAGGAAATAATAAGTTTTAGTAACCAGAAGGTGTTGTTTTAAATTTATTTCCATCCGTCCATTTCGAGAATCGTTTTTTTTTGGCGACTGTGAAAGCACCGTGTGTCCGTTTCTCCTCCAGGCTTCATTCGACAGGAAGAAGCATCACGACTGGACCAGTTTCAACACCCTGCACTTGCGAGTGCGAGGCGACGGGCGGCCCTGGATGATCAATCTCGCCACAGAAACGTACTTCTCGCACCAGAAGGACGATGTGTACTGTTACTTCCTGTACACGAGGGGGGGGCCGTACTGGCAGGATGTGAAGGTGAGCACTGAAAGCGTCGCTCAGGTGTGTGCGTGAATACATCAGGAAAAAAAAACATCTCAGGATTTGAACCACGCCGTGGTCCCCATGTGATGATTTCTCCTCTCACAGATCCCGTTCTCCAAGTTCTTCCTCACACATCGAGGGCGGTTACAAGACGACCAGCACCACGCCTGGCTGGACAAGGTAGAGCAGAGGAACACGTCAATAAATAAACGTCAAGTCAGCGCCATGTGACCACGAATAACGCTGACGGCGCCAATTTCAGAACGCTGCTTATCTGTGCTTACTGTTGCTAGGTTACGGCTCACCGCCCTTCAGCTTCCCTTGGTAGTGACCTTAAAGGCTTTATATGTGATGTTTTGATCCAGCAGGTGTCGCCCTTGAGCTCCAGCATGAAACCAAAACAACTGGCGCTGCATTGTTGTGTTAGCATGCTAATGCTAGCGATCTTTATTATGCTGGTATCTTCACACTGCATGTAAATTTACCTGAAATGAGCGTGATCTAGAAACACAGTTAAGCAGTGAGTACAGTATGTTATTCTTCTTTTCTCTAGTCCCTCAATTAAACAACTTTTATACACGAGGGGAGGAGTCAGCCGGCCGTCCTGGCGATGTAAACAAAGTGAAGATAGGACTCTGAAAACTGTGAAAACATCACAGACAGTGGGACTCGGGTGTTACACCCATTGTAGACAGTCATGACTCACAGAGTTATTTTCACAGGAGATACTTGATTTATATTTAAGTGTGATGAGCTCTATAACCTCTGTACAGGGTTTGCACTACATAACCGCTAGGCTATCTGGCGCCCCTGTGTGGTCTGTTTTAAACATCTGTTATGTTAATCTGCATTTATTTCAGTACTAGTTCATGCTAGCAGCTCTGATTCTTACACATTGAATCTGTAGCTTTTATGGTCGTCTTACCTTTATTTATTCTTTTCCACACGTCCTCGTAAAGCACTTTGTGACTTACTGAAAACCAGTGCAGTATAAACTAAACAGACGTTACTTCATTATGTTTTTGTTATTGCAGGTAAACACGGTCGGCTTCACTCTGGGGGACAAAGCGGACGGCCCCTTCCAGCTGGAGATCGATTACATCGGCGTGTGCAAAGATTTCGCTCACACCGAGGAGTTCGCCTACGAGATGTACAAGAAGAATCCAGAAGTTTGAGAGGAACTCCTTCAGTGCTGGACCTGGACTGTGTTCTTAAATATCAGCTGACAATAAATACATGCAACACCTTCTCTAAGACGGACAGTTTCACTCCATTTGAGTTCATGGTTTCTAATCTTTCACCGAGTTTAAGTCAGGAGGTTTTGTGGTGGCAGCCTCAGGTGTGATGCTTAAGTGTTAAATCCTGCAGTTCCTGGAGTGTCCACTAGAGGCTGGCTGCAGCAGCACAGGAAGTCACATACACACCCATTCTAAACAGCCTGTTTTTACAGCAGAGATGAACATGTTTACAGCCTGGTTCAAAAAACCAAATAGGTGTGATTAGCTCATGTCTGGATGGACACACACTGTACGGGGGGTGAATGTTTTGATGACTCATCAGTTTTGATTTGATGAAGGATAAGAGTTATTCACAATAAGGCGTGTAGCTGACCTGATTGACAGGTGGGCGCGGTGTAACGGTTTGTCAGGAGGTTTAAAACCCGCTCCAGCTCTCAGCCTGTCGTTAGGTTGACTGAAAGTTAGACTGAGACAGCATTTCCAGCATGGAGACCGCCATCGATGGGACTCCAGCGCCCCCTGCAGGACAGACGGGGGACGCCACTCGTAATAAAATAAGGTTCGATCATCAGCCTTAACACTTGAGCGTCCTCTTTCGTTCACCTCTGTAGTGTGAATGATCGACAGGTGTCATGGCGGCCTGATCTTTCTGGATTAAATTAATCCTCGTTTGACCCTCGTCCTCTTCCGTACATTGTTTCCCTTTAAATCACAGCACATTATCTTACAGCTGCTTTCACATGTTAAAAACATCCTCCGACACGTCAATGAGACATCTTAATTATTCATGAAACATATTTAATACATCATTGAACCTTTTTATGTTTAAGGTCAGAAACTTTTTCAACACAAATAAAAGAAAATTCAAACGAGATATTTTAGCATCGATGTATTTTTTATCATTCTCTCCCCAAAAAAGTTAAAACAAAGCAAACATGAAATCTTTACAACAAATCTGCACTTTAAAACATTCCTCACATGAACGTACAGCATGCATCGTTCAAGGTGTTCGAGTCAAATCTAAAATCACGACTTAACGTCAGGTAGAAGCTCAAAGGGTAAAAGACAAAGTACAAAAACAGAGGGTGAAATATTTACACAGGAGGAACCGGGCTGTACAAACGTCGACTAACGAGCACTTTTTTTTTTTTTTACATCATGACGAGTCCTCTCCTCGCTCCCAGCATGCTCTCCTTCTTCTGTTTGCGATCCTCCGCCTGCTTCGCTCTCCTCTCGCCCCTGAAGAGAGAAACAGAAACCTCCATCAGAGACCGCCTCATCAGAGACCCAAAGCGGTCCGAGCTCTGCAGTAGGACCTACCTGGTCTGGACCTGGTGCTGCTTGTAGTTCTTCTGGTGAGAGTTGGAGATCACAGACTTGTTTCCTTCTTGGTTTTCTTTAGCTTCTCCAAACGGCTTCAGTTTCCCTTTAAAAAGATTAATAACCATGAGGGATCTGACCGCCGTCTGACCGTGTGTTGTAGAGACAGTGGACTGCTGTGGTACCTGTGTGAGGCTTGTAGCTGAGGGGGCGGGACAGACTCGCCTTCAGGTCAAAGCTCGCCTTCTTCTGAGTCCCGGGCGTCGTGGATGTGCTCGTGTTGCCAGTGAAAACAAACGCTCCTAAAAACATGAGGTGAAGAGTGAAGAGGAGTAAACAACATCAGCAGACTGATTCTCTCCCTTCTGACAATCTGAAGCTAAACTCCAGACGTTCCTGTGATGTGAGGCGTGTGAAGAAAGAGCTGATAGCAGCCGTCTTACTTTCAAATCGTAAACATTAAACATGTTTAAAATGTAACATCTGATCTCCTGCTGTGTGGGGGGAAGGACAGACGAGCACGCACTCTGGACGGTGACATAAATGAACTACAGGCATTTAAGAAGCCCGCTGACTGAAGGCAGCTCAGAAAACAGACGCAGAATCAGAATATTGTCCAGGTATGCTTACACACAAGGAATTTAACTTGTGTGAACTGTGCTCTCTTATGTACAGGTACAACATTAAATATCAACAATAAACATGATAAGAAAAGACTAATATTTACATGACTAAATATGAAACAGTGAAAAAGATGCTGAAGTAACATGATAAGTTATTTATAATTATTTCCACATGTATCCATGTGTGCTGCGTTCAGTCAGTGCTTTTATTTTGAAATTGAGCGGGTGACTCTGCACCTTCCCATGTTTTCCTTCCTGCTCTGCTCATCTTGACGTGAGCTGCACGCGGTGTGGACGAGCATCGACTAGAGGGGAAGTAAACAGGGATGTAGTGCACGCCGCTGACAGACCGTAGCGCACATGGACTATGTGGATATCAGTGGTGAGAGATTTAAGGAGACCTGCAGAGTTCAGAGTCTGGACTCTGTTTGTTGCTGAATGAATCTGTTGATGCTCTCCACACACAGCAGGAACTAAACCGTTATCTCTCTGGTCGTCTTAGTGCGGCGGCCCAGCTTCATCTTAACCATCTTCAGGTGAACTCAGATCTCTACATGGATGAAGAGGTAAACAGTACCTGGAGTTTTGGTGGCAGAGAGAGCTGACGTCTTCACGCTGTTGGCCTTTCCTCCGTCAGCTGTTTGTCTCTGCGGGGTGCTCGACGCCACACAGGGCGACATGCGCGCGGGCGTCTTCACCATCGACCTCTTGTACTCGTTGTCATGAGTGGCTTCTGAAAACCTGCGTGGCAACAAGGTTTGATGTTAAAGGGGAATAACGTGCAGAAATCAAATAAACTCTGTTGATATAAAAGTAGAAATGACTTCTTAAAGCGAGCGTGAAGTCAGACTCCCTCTGCGTTTGTTGTTCTCAGCTCTGTGTTCACACTAAAGGGGGCAGAGCTTCCTTCAACTCGTTTCAGTTTCACTCAGAGACTCAGACATGTTTTGTTTGTCCTTCCCTCTCTAAACGTTAACCACGTGAGGGGAGAGAGAGGCCACGCCGTGTTTAAAGAGCGTTATAACGGGCTGTCATCTCAAGAGAACTGAAGGAGACCAAACAGACTTTACAAACAAATTCACTTTGAGATGCATCTCGTTATTTTCAGATGTTTTTCAGCTCGTCTGCCGCTCGCCGTCTCACTCACACTCGGTGGTGAAACAGGACGGGAGGGGCGGGGAGACGAGACGGTAACCTCTCCTAATGCTGATAGACGAGGAAACTACAGAACCGCTCAAAACCTTTTCATAAATTCCTCTTTGTCAGAGTGACCACAAAGAACCTGACCGACAGTGAACGGGAAAGAGTCGCTCACCGCACGTTGATCCGGCGCGTGGAGAGGACAGACGGTCTGAACGGAGCCACTTCCTTCACAGCCGGTTTGTTTGCTGCAGGTTTATTGGCCGAGAGCAGAGTTTTTCTGCGCCTGTCCTCGGCTGCTGTTTTAGTCGGAGGGGCGGGGCTAAACATGGACGTGCGGCTCGCCTTCTGTGGATAAAAAGCATGAAGGTTAAACGGGTCGGTGGGCGGAGTTTAGATCCTGCCGCTGTAATGTTCAAACTCACCACCGGAGGTTTGGAGTCCGCTCGCTGCAGTTTGGTTTTGTCTGCCAGTTTCTGAAAGTCAGAACAAATAAAAGATGTAATAAAGTTCATAAAGAGATGTTCATGATTAAATCTCGTTCAGACGACCTCACCTTCAGCTCCTTCACTGAAGTCTTGAACGTCTCCATCTGTTTGGTTTTTCGCTGCACGTAAGAATCGATGGACTCCATCTTGTTGAAATGAGCTTCGTGGAGTTTTTTGAAATCTGCAGAAGAAAGAAAACACACCACGGTTATTCTAACTCGTCTCTGAAGTTCTTAAAGAGTCAAAAAAAGAAGAAAGGGAGCAAAGCAACAAACTGACTCGGAGTGACGGGCTTCAGCAGCGTCTTCTTGTCCTGCTGGGAGCCTTGGTAACGAGGGATCCTCCCCCCTCGGGACACTTTGGGAGCTTTTTTACAAACATCGAGAATGAAGAAAGAAAGAAAGTTTGATTTGTGAAGGTCGCTTCAAACATCTTTAAAATGTCACTAAAAATCAGCCACAGAGGGAAAAGGTTCAAACGCACAAGAAAATGTGACTCACTTCATTATCTATACAATATATGTTTTCTTTATTTAAAAGTATAAATGCAAACCCTTCAAAAAGGAGGCAGGACTGATAAATACTAGGGCAGTTGGAAAGAAATTCAGGATTGGAATATAATTTGAAAAAGGAAAAACAAACAAAAACAAACTCATTAATATTTGAAATCTTAACGCATATTAAATATGAAAGCATAAACATAACTCATTGTAGCTTTGAATACGTCATTAATAATCACTAAACTATAATATTTCAGTGTTCATCAGGGTAAACTACTGACCTTTCTGAACAACCACAGGAGCTTCATCCTTGGTGTCCGGCTGCTGCTCAGAGTCCGGGGGGGTCTGGTCCTCTTTAGGGGGCTCGTCTTCAGGCCGGTCTGAGTCCTTGGTCGAGTACACTTTTCTCTTCTTGGCGCTCCTGACTTCACAGGGTTCAGAAGACACGGCCTCCTCAGTGTCGACCTGAGAGAAACAACAGTCATTTAAAAACTCCTCCTGAAGGTAAGGAACGAACGAGAACACAACAATGAAGAGAACGTCATGAATACCTACTAACTTAATGATGATGGTCTCCATATTATTGATGATGATGATGGTAATGACGATGGTTTTTGTTTGATAACGACGACTTATAAGATGGTTTCTATACTGATTAGAGCTCTCAAGAACTGCCCTCAATGTTGTGCTTTGCCTCTGGTCACTTCCTGTCAGCACCTGTGTGTCCAATCAGACTCAAAGCTGATCGTTTGCTCTTACTCACATTGTTCCCTTTTTTCTAGATCCTTGCTTGTGTTGTTCTTACTCTCTGATGTACGTCGCTTTGGAGAAAAGAGTCTGATAAGTGAATGTAGAATTGTAGAAGCGCTCATAAGAAGGAGGGGCTTATTAGGGAAAGGTTTCACCCGAGACTCATGCTGCACCATCTGGTGACATGGTGTGATTATAGTGGCCATTATGTTATC